ATTGCAAGAATATTTATGAGACAAAACTTTTACTTAATATCAGACTTTTTAATTAAAGTAAAATTTCAGATCTGCATTTAATGAATTGCAAAATTAAGGATACAGCTTTTGAAAGCGTACCTATACTTATGAAGAAGATACAATGAAATTTAATACAGAGGCTGTTAGAGCGATTTCGGGGTTGTTTAATTAATATTTAAAATATGAAGAGCACTTTTTTAAATGTTCAAGCTGATAGCCGTTTTTATGGAATGTAATTCTGCTTTGTGATTCCCATGATTAAAGAGCTTTACTGAGTTAGTGATTTCCATTTCTGTTCCAGTAATTTCCGGAGTCCATAAGTGGTGGTAATTTTGCACTTAGAAAGATCTCTTTTCAAGAAACCAAAGGCATCATAGCTGAAATGTCAGGAAACTTAGCAGGAATACTTTGAAAAGGAGTATATGTAGTATCTGTATTAGTCTTTAGTTTTTCAAGGAATACAGTGGAACTTTTGGAGGTATCACTTGTTGCGTCATCTTGATGAAATTTTACTTTTTAAAAGTCATTCGAATAATGAAAAGTAATTTCTTCTGTAAATATCCGACATAATTCTTACTCTTCATAGTACATTGAGTTTAAAACTTTTTCCCACTATTCTTAACGTCCTATTGTAAGAGAATCCTCTGATGATCGTAAATCCCTTGCTGAATCTTTTTTGGAATTGACTGAACCAGGTTTGTGCATTTTTTTCTCTTGATTTTCGATAATAAATAGCCCTTTATACGTTACTGTCACTAAGCCCACGCTTTTTGAAGGGCTTCAATGTTGTTTCCACTTATCGCCTGTAAATGGTTTTCATACAAGATTCTACAAATTGTTCTGCGTTGAGCCATATGCCTCGGCAAACGTTGGTTAACATTATGTTATTTAGCTTTAAGATATAAATCTTGGTTTATTATTTATTTATTTTTTGGATCAGATGTATTTAAGGACTTTGCAGTTGATTTCTGCATCGTCAGCCTCAATAACGGCCTTTTTCAGGGGTTTGTTTGGAGTCATTGTGTCATGTAGAAGTAATGACTGACGGGTTTACACTTCCTATTAATAATGTTGCTTATTTTGCGTTTAGAAATTTTAATATCAAGCCTTTCACAACATTTTTTAATTGTAGAATAGGGATATTTCTCTTTGGAATGAGTACCAATATAATCCTTCAATCCACAGCTTGTTTACAAGCAGCATTTTGAAAGAAAAATAAATTTGAAAGTAGCAAATTACGTTTCTCATTTTCAAATAATAAGCTGTTGACAGAATTTTTTTTCTAATGTATTCAGTGTTTTAGATTTCTTTATTTAAATCAATATTAGAATTATAAATTCTTTATGTAATTCTTATCGAATTATAAATTTTTTATTGTTATAAAAATGAGCGAACACGCACTCTAATCAAATCTCTTGAAGTTCATTGTCTTAATATAATTTGATAAAAGTATTTGAGTGATAATAAAAATATTTAAAATTTTATTTTAATCCTTTTAACTTCAAAGCAATTGTACATAAAAAATTTTTCAAGGGTGTTGTTACAAATACACATTAAATAAAACGCTAATTATCTTAAGACAATTTACAGTGTGACCTTAACAACCATTACGAAATGACATTGCGGATCTGAAACATAAAATTTCAATGAGTTACGTGCAATGTAATTGCAATAATCGAATTTTTTAAAACAAATGTTTTTATGGATGTCAGTCAAACTAATCTTCCAAAAATTCGGAATTAAAATATTAAAATGTCTTTTTTGATTAAATTTTGAACGATTCAAATAATAAAAAACGCTCGAAAATTCGTGTATTCGAATCTCAAATTTACTGCAAGATTTTTTTGGATTCGACAATTCAGAAATTCAGATATTCTATTTCCAGTTTTAATTTCCTTTTATTTTAATTTAAACTACTTATGATTATTATATAATATATAGTGCTAAAAAGGTAGTTATAAACTTTATTTTTTAAAATATTGTTCTTAGAAATAACTTTAAGTTACACAGCTGCTTAAAATAACATGACTAATTTTAGAAAATAATGTCTTAAACAATAGTTGATGAGGATTTTATAGAAAAGGATCTGTAATTTTACATAATCATCTCCTAAAAAATTCCACTTCGTAAAATAATGATATTATTATTATATGCAAGTGTTCCATAAGTTTACATGAAAAATTCGAGGAAGAATGCTCAATAAAGAGCGCTGTTAAATCTAAAACCCAAGCACTTTTCCCTTTCTATCTGCTCTTAAATACTTTGAATTATGTTAGCCACAGACATGAGAAAATTGTTAAAGTCAGTATACGTATTTGTTTATTTGTTCTTCAACACTTTTGTAACATTCTATTTTTCTCATACAAGCTTTGTCGTGAACATTGTAGAATCTTGCTTAAATCGAAATAAGATTTCCCATGCAGTTATCTTAAACGCCTTTGAAAATATTCGACATAGGAGATGCCGAATGAAGGTGGGACAAAAATTACTCATTTGAAAAAAAATTGCTTCAAACAATTTTTTCTAAGCAATTTTAAGGCAAATTGCTGCGTGATTTTATTTTTGATTTTATAACCAGACAGCTTAAATTTAGTATGAAATTAGTAATTATAGATTTGCGTTTATATCAGTAATTTCATATTTATGTGAAAGTATAACTACAGCAATATAATTTTTATTGCATGTGTTAGCTGTATAATAAATCATACATTACAAGAACAAATGGAAGGTGTGTTTTTCTTTGCTGTTGTATTACATTAGATTCATTATTCATATTAAAATGAAGCTACTGCAATACCCATTTTTATTCTTGATAGTATCCTGAATTCTCGATTGTCCATATAAACATATAATCAGTAAAACTGACAAAAATGCATGTACATTTAATAAACTATGTATAGTTATACATTATATATAAATATATGTATATATAATATATAATATATATGTTGTATGATCTTAAATTCACTTAGTTCGAAATCCAGTTATTCTACTACTTGCGCAATAGGCTTCAAATATATATACAGATTAAGAGATTTTAAATAAACGACATATAGTGTAGGATTTAAAATGCGTTTAATTAAAATTTATGAAATTGAAGTAGATTTTCAGCTTTTATTCTAGAAAATATGTAATGCTTTTATTTATATATTTATTTTTGAGAACTGTGCTGATATTTTTCCAGAGAAAATGAAGGGGGGAATATAAAAGTACGACATTATAAAATTCGAATTAATTTCATATACGTCTAAGTCGAAAAGCTACCGTTGCTCTTCATTCTTCATCTTCATTATCTACTTGGCATCATTGTAATAGCTCGAAATCGCTGTATGTGTGTGTGCCCCACCATTTGCCAAATAGTGAATACTTACTTGTTCAACCCGGATTGGAGCCCAAGCGAATGGCTAGGCTAACTGGTTATTTTTCTTGGGCTTTCCCTATGAGCAAAGTAAATACGAACCAGTTTCCTTTAGAAAGTCTTAGATACAGCCATACTCCCTTTGGCAGGTAGATCTTACGCACTTTGCCATATTCAAACAACCACAAGCTATGCAAATGTCCTGAAAAAAATTAGCTTTTCCCTTCTGTATTCTTAATTCTGTATTTTTTGGAGCTCTATTTATCAACTTCTTAAATATAAAAATTAACTTCAGTTGTTTCCCAGTAGTGTTCCTTTTTTAATTGCAAAATTTCATTACTTAAGAACATTATTGATCACTTTTCCAGTTAAGAATTTCCAACAATCTTTTAATTTCATTCCAGGTTTAATCAACAAACGTTATTGCATCTAAAAAACCTAAGTTTATTCCAAAAAGTTTTATAACTTTATTTTCTGCGAGTGAGAATCCGATAAAACGTTTTTGATGAAATACGCATAATTAAAAAATGGATATATTCTTCAATACTTTAAGTTGTTCTCCTATATCATAAGCGTACCTTCCACCTATACAATTCGCAGTAAACCAAAATTCTTTTTGCAAAGAAAAAAAACAAGATATATAAGAAAACGTCTGATACCGAAGTAAAAGGAAAATTTAATCTTACAATTTTGATTAAATTTAATTGAAGTGTTCCCTTTTTCAAAGTGAAACGTATGAAATGTCTGTCGCATTGAGCTGTTAATTTTCCTTTCGTGGAATTCTGATGGAAGTGTAATTGAAGTGTGCTCGTTTAGCAAAGTGAAACGTATGAAATATCTACCGCACTAAACTGCTAATTTTCCTTTTGCCAGATTCTAATGGAAGCATAAATTGTTCCTTTCGCAAAGTGAAACTTGTGAAATATCGGTCATACTGAATTGTTAATTTTGGTTTTACTACACCAGTGTTACTTCTAATTAAAATGAAATGGCAAAATTGTAAGTGTAAATATATTTATAAACTAATTATTTTATTATTGTTAGTTATATTCTAAGAACTGTGCAGAAATGCAAACAAAATTTTAAACTGATTGAAAATTCTCACTTAAGTTGAACATTTCCTAGCACCAGAGAGGTCGAGTTAATTACATCGACAGTCTTAACATCAGTAAATGAAACTCCACTTTAAATACCATACTTATCGTTTTAGTTCTTCCACAATATTTCGGAGATTTGCTGAAGATGTATTGAACTTATATTTCTAATGAAAATTTGAGGATATAATCAATAAAAATATTTCATACCGTTTTGCAGGTAACTGAAGTCTGCACGATATACTCGTATATGAAAAGTTAAGCTTATGTAAAGTTGTACGAAATTTTCGCGTTTCCGCACAATAAATTAAAGACTTAAACATTTTTTATATAGACATATTTTTTAAAATTCTGTAATAATTTCTTGTTTCCTCATAAGCACTGGCATTTTAATCACTTACTTTCAGAACGACTTACAGGATTTAAAATCTAATTTCCTTCATTAAAGGAAACTTCTGTAGGTAAGTACAAATATTAAACATATGTATACATTTATTTTTTATATAATTACGAAAACGATAGGCAGATTAAAAGAAAGTTTTTTAAGTTTATTGTTCTAAGAAATTTACAGTAAAAATTTGGTCAGCAACATTTTAGAAAAATACAACTTAATGAAATCCAACAATGTCATCATCAAATAAGATTTGAATCATTTCAGATGCGTTTGCTGGTTCCAAAGACCTAGAAAAGATTTTCCAGTGTCAGAGATCTGGAAAACAACTTCCAGAGTCAAAGTCCTAGAAAACAATAAAGAGAATGTTAATACGTATCCAGATAAAACGTCACATAGCAAATATTTACAACAGAGATTATTAAAATGTTCAATTTTAATAATGCTCGACGAAACTCTGTGGTATATAAAGCTCGTCAATTTTCTAATATTTAAGTTCGTGCAATTAATTATTTTCAGCTGTTTAAGAAGTAAAACACATATTGAACTTTCTTTAAAATTTATGAGCCATATTCTCCATATTTCATCTTCAGAAAATATTTTTATTTTAAATATTATCAGTGTTGAATTTTGTTTTGAAATTTTTATCACCATTTCAAAGCATTTTTGCCGTCTTGAGATTAATATTTTACTACAGATATTCTTAATACCTTTCAACGGAAAAATGTTTTGTTATTAATTACTTTGATGTATTTTGTAGTTAAATTACAAGAGATCTGGATTACGACAAGGCATCAAACTTTGAAATAGTTAAGAATGTAAAGAAAAAACAGAAGGCCGAAGGGATTATAGTAAATATCTGTACTCTTAAACGTATAAAAGAAGCAGTTTTACTTTAGTCAACTGATTATTATGAATAATTAATTAATTGCTTCTAATATAAAATGCACAGACTGACATCAGATCCTATCACTTAGGCTTAAGTTTTAAGAAAGGATTTTTTTGAAATAAGGTAAAATAAAAAAAACATAAAAGGAAACAAAGAGAGGCAAATGATAGAAGAAATCCACAGTGCGAGAAAAGTGAAGAAAATTCTACACATAAGGAAGAAGGAATAATTAAAATATTTAAACTAATAGTCATTAGTTAGTTATAATTTCACGGTGCTAAAATTTATTTATTAATATTCTATTCTTTCGTCTGCATTTTAAGGTCACTTTTCTAGAAACATCAAGCAGCTATGCTATTCTGTTACAACATCATTAGCTTCATATTTCAAACTAGTTCCACAAAATGCAATAAAAAAATTCTTAATTTTTAATGCACAGATGTTATAGTAGTTAACGGTTAATTATTCATGCTATAACAGACTTAACTGTTATAAATTTGCATTCAGAATTCAGCAAAATTATTACTATTTAAAAATGTCTAACGTACATTCATACTAGTTTCAAAGTGAACAATTAATATGTATGTAACCATGAGAGCTACCGTTCATTTCCAAAGTACATAAATCCTGTATTGCGAGGTGAGGGAAACATTATGTTCCTCAAACAGATACGAAAGCATCTTGCATTGCTTCCATATCAAAAATTGCAAATGTAAGTATTTTAAAATGACAGTACTGAATTACATCGTTTCATAAAATCGTTGCACTCATAATGCAAAAATCTCTGAAAATTAAAATGGGTTAACATAATACTTAGTTAATTTTTCTCATCTTACCTTTCGGAAGGGTTTTACTTCTTCCACAAATAGGAAAGAGCAGGGTTGTAGGCATAGTTGTAGGCTGATGGGTAGGCATAGTTGTAGGTATGGGCAGCTCCATAGTAACCACCGTAGTAGGGGAAATATTGTGCAAAAGCACAGGCTGTCAGAGCAACCAAAAGCAAAACGGCAAACTAAGGATACAAAAATTATACATTAAGATGTTTGTGTGTTGCAGATAAGATGCAGTTTTATGCCTTTCCTATGTATAAAATATAACCTTTAACTTTTTCTATGTTATATTTGATATCCATCGCCCTTTATTGAAGAAATATTAAGGTAAGTAAAATATGTTAATACACAGAAAGATTTTTCTTCCGTTGTCCCGAAAAGTACGTTTAATTATCGAAGATTAAAATTAGTAACGATCTTTACCAGAGATGAAAGAAGAAAGAACGATTATCTGCTCTCCATCTGGTTGTACTTCATCAAAAATGTAAAATAGGCTTCTTCTATTTTCCAATTTTTTTTTCATTTTTTCAGTTATCAACTATGAGGTATTTCATATTATTAGGTACTTTGTAAAGTCAGAAATGATTCAGCGAAGTGGATTGCTACATTCCGTTACGCCGAAGTATTTTTTTTATCTTTTTCGTGACCTATTTCCAAAGCATTGCCCTTCTATTGGAAGTAAGTTCTTTAATTTACCTATTAAATCATAAATGTATATCTTAAAAACAGAAAAAATAAAAAATGTAAACACATTTAAATATTTTATTTTATTTTTAAATAAGATATTTATATTTTACAATTTAAAATATAAATAATTTTAAATGTATCCAATCGATAATTTTATGAGCATTTGTAGCATTATTGTAACTGGCAAAATATCGTATGTTTTTAACGCAGTACGTTCTGCGATTTATAATCATGTGCGTTTTGAAGTCAGAAGCTTCTTTCTATGAATATTTCCAAATTTTTAACAGTATTTTATATAATGTAAAGAGTATTTGTGCAATATGTTTATGAATATAAAACTAGGAAAATGTTTAATGAATTAAGAATAATCTTTCTTTTCCTTGTTTCAAATTACAAATCCAAGAGTTCGGTGTATTAACCACCATTCAACTGAAAATAATCTCACTGTATATAAAGTCCTATATGAATTCACTTATCCACTTTTATATGAAGATACTACTAGGTAAGAGCTTGTAAAGTCTGAAATTTATGTATGTTATAAATCTGTATTAAAAATTAATTTGTTTATACTTTGATCACTTAAATTTCATTGAAAGTTTGTTTTATTTTTTCTTCACTAAGAATTATATGTTTGTTACTTATATCTCATAAAGAATTTTTTACCTCACTTTTCAAACGAAAGCGGTACAATCTAGCTTTAACTCTGCTGCTCGTGGTTTAAAGAAGTAAAAGTTGGTTAGTTGAATCATGGTAAAGCAATCAAGGGTTGTCTTCCTAAGAGAAGGAATGCCTTCGTGTAGGACTTTCTAAGGAGAACTGGTTCGCATATACGTTGCACATGGAGAAAACCACGAAAACCCTCATGCAGCCACCAATTTGCCGGGTCATCGGTCAGAGCTATCAGTGCTCAGCGACTCTGGCGCTCGACCGCTGGTGGGCCAGCGAAAGCCGTAGAGTTTCGATTAACTGAAACAGGAAGTGGCTAAAGTCGTAAAGTTTCGATTAACTGAAACAGGAAGTGGCTAAAGCCATACATTAATTCAGTTAATCAGTTTGCTCATTTTAAATTAATATTTCAAAAACGAACTATTTAGTTACGAACTTTATTATTTATTTTAGTTATACAGATATTTAGTTTTAGGCATTTATCTTATTTCGACTTGAAGTTAAATTTTTCAGTAAAATAAACAGCAAAATTGGGATTGTTTTATGCTTTTCAAGGTATGAGTAAGTTTTAAAGAATGCGTTTAACCTATGATCTGAATAATCAGCCCGGATAAGAAGTTCTACTATGTTAAAGTGGGCAGCGAGAGGCTTCTTTTTAAGTTATTCTCTGATTATCTACCTAAATTAATTTTTCTTCTTCTTTCGTAAGTGAAGCATTTTTCAAATTGAAACATTTTTTAAATACTTCATACAGGAGATTAAGCAGTTTTCTTTAAGAGCTTGGGAATTATTCTACGCAATGTAATATATAGTTACATAAACAATCATAAAAATACGCTTTATTGACGACTATTTAAGCATGCCTTATTTATTAGTAATTCTTACCTTTGATAATACTCAGTGTTGCCTTATAATACATTTATACATAACCGTGCTGGGATTTGTAAACGTTATAGGTATAAAACATAATGTTAGGCATATGATCAATAATAAACATTTTGTAATAAATACTTATAGAAAATGTAAATTACAGAATAAATTACCTTTTAGTTAATTTTGTTACTGACCATTTTTATACAATACATCTTTTAATACTTTTTACATGATAACGCATTTTGTTTATACAGAAATATCTCAATTTATTGCTCTTTCCATATACTGTGTTTACAAGAATGTTTTTTAATTATTTATTTATCTATTTTGCAATTCACCACGGAACAGTCATGCAAACCTCATTGACTCGTTTCGCTTGTATGTGTGTGTGTGTCATATTTTAATAATATAGTAATTTTTCCTACATTTTTATTATTATCATGTAGCATATATGCTAAATGACAGTCCTCCAAGTGCCTCCAAGAGGTCTTCGGTGGTTGTCATTTAATATAAATGTTTTTTTAAGTCTTAATTTTCTGAATTTCTCTATCTCAGACATTCATTATAGTACTTTTACTGATTTTGTACTTTTAATATATAGCCTATTACTCTCTCTTTTATTCTCGCTATGTTTGAAAATTGTCCACTATTCATTGAAATTAAGTCTGTCAATACTTAGGTAGAAATGATTAACAATGGAGAGAAAGAGTCGAGTGATGAGATTTCTCAAAAATAATCTTTTGCATAAATATTTAATCTAGTTTAAATGCAAAGAAATTCTCTCTCATTATTAATGCTATTTTAAATTTTAAAGGAATAGAATTATGATAAGGATGATCAAGAAACGTTGCGTTAGAAATACAATATGCATAGAATAAATAGAAATTTCAATTGGAAACGAATACGTCACGTCACTTATATTGCGGAATTTATTACGACTGATTGGAATTGAATCCGCAATATGTGTCGAGGCAAAAACTGATATTTTATCATTTATATTTCATTAATTTAAATATTTCATCATTTTGATATTATCATTTATATATGCGTAAAAAATATTTCCTCTTGTTCAATATTTTGTTTTAATTTTTGACGTTTCCATCGTTAAAAGATAATCGCTCTTCTGAGCAGAGAAAAACTTTTAAATTTAAGCAAAATATTTTTATTATATTAAAGGAAGCCTATTTGAATAAAATTTGAGGTATTTAGCAAGAAATAATTAGGTAGCGCGCAAAATGCTAAGTAGTATAAAAGTTTCTTTAGGAAAACATATTCAGATAAAAGAAAGTTCAAAAAGAAATGCTAATTAGTTACATATAACTTTAAAATACTCACCAAGTATTTCATGTTGAAGACTTTCTTGCTGATGAAGACAAGAAGATAATTCTTCGCTCCGAAACTTCTCTATTTATAGTCAAATTTCAAACAAAAAAGAATTCTTAGAACAAAGAAGGCGATTGAAAGCGAAGGCCAAGGTCTCATCAAATTGTGGAAGGACTTCTAAAATCGGGTGTGGTCGAACCGTACAAGTGCGTAACAGCAACCCGTTTCACTAAAGCAGATATGTTTTTAATGTATGAGAGTGACATCGAAATGTCATTAGGAATTCCGCAAGGAGCATCATCGATTACAAACCAAAGCTAGCGTGAGAAACAAATGTTGCTTAAAGGATTTTTTTATTTTTATTTATAATACAGGAAGTTTTGCAAAGATGATAAATTTAAATTTAGAGCAATCACAAATGCAAATGAATCATTACAAACTCAATCCTACTCAACCGACATAAGAATATAGAAAATCAGAACAAAAATCGTTGTGGAGAAATTCTTGGATTTGAAGTCTAGGAATTCAGTTCGAATTTTTTATAACAAATTAGGCTGTTCCTAACATTTTATGAGAATGATAGAAATTTTTTAGCATTCGTTATATAAATTAATTTCAACAGCTTTAAATTTTAATTTTGAAATGGCAGCCATAAAATAAGAGATTTTATTTTAAAGAACATACAGTGTCTAAAATAATATCATCAACACAGATACCCCGTTGATGTTTACAGATTTTTGAATAGCTAATTCAACAATTCGGCTTAAATGGACAAAAAACATATAGGAAGATTCTAGCTATTGAATTGGTATTAGTTTTCAATATGATGCTGAGTTCAGAATTAAGTGCAATACTACGCAAATGAAACAAATTAAATTTGCTTATTGTCCCAGAAAAATTTAAATTGTTCTTTTTATTTTCTCGTATAATTTATATTGAACGCTATTTGTAAGTTTTTATAAGTAATAAATATTTGAAATAAAATGTGCTATGCATGAAAGCATACTTCCCTTGATAGTGAAAGTTCTCTTAGACTTTCTGAACTGGTGTCAGAAATATTTGATCACCCTAAGTATCAAAACGATTCATTCCTCATTTAATTAGGAAGTGACGTTTTTCTTTTCCAGCTAAAGAAGCATCATCAGAAGTTAACAAATATATGACCCTATATTTCTTATACACATTGTGAAGGCACAGGGCAACGCAGATTATTTGTAATCACATAATTATTAATCAAAACGACAATAAATCCTAGTTTCCCAGTGAGTGATTAAGACTCCTGAATATCGGGCAATTAGTTCAAGTTCAGAATAGCATACTGGCTAACTCCGTGGCTGGTTTCCATAGCTTTTTTCCATCTGTAACATGAGTACATGTCAATTTCCCTTAGAAAGCCTTCCTTCCACCCATCGCTTTCTGTTGCAGGCTCGCGCAATTTATCATATTCAAAGAAACAAACACCCATTCCATTTTGGACAAACATTAAAACTACCAAATCCCAAAACACAATACATTTTGTTATAAAAGAACTATTTCCGAACCCAAACTTGCATTTACATATAATTTTACAGAAAAAATATCCAAAAATGAACATTGGTTGTAACAAAATGAATATCTAAAAGTATTTTCAAAATTTCATAGCAATATCTATTAATACTGAAATATTATATAGACGGTTCTGTGATTTCATTAAGAGATCGATGAAAGGTGATTTATCGGGCATTGGAAATGACATTTGCTTGGAAGAATTTAGTGAAAAAGGTTTTTTTAATAAACTGAATATGAACTTTTAAATTGAAAAGCAGCTAATAAATAGCGTCTTAATGACTGATAGAATTTGAAATTAAGAATTCGAATTATTGAGAACTAGGGAAAATTATGCAGAAAATAAAGCATTAGACGAATAACTACTTTATAAAACTAAAACACTAATCTTTCTTCCATATTTCATCTCATTGAGTATAAATCAGATATTCTACACTCTAACGCAATATAAATTACTATCCACGACGAGCTATTTCACAGTTGGGAAAAAAAGCAAATTCTTCCTACCAATAAACTATATGCACAAATTTTAGAAGCCTTTGGCAAGAAACTAAAATATCAAAACTTTGGAATCAATTTTGTTTTTCTGCTATATATAAACTACGAAATACTTCGATAAATTCCATCAAAATGTGATACACGTACAAGAAATATTTTAAATCACTGATGTGTATAATTTTCCAATTCCTTGCTTATTTCATTAATTACTGATTATCTGCGGCTTTCCTTTCTAAAACTGAGATGTCATCAAACTTTTACAAAAAGAATAGCTTAGAGATCTAGAAATTCATAAATTTCTTAATACAACTGATAGGAATATTCTCAGCTGTTTAATAAAGCAGCTGAAATTATTCTGAAAGGTAACAGTTGTTCTGTAAAGAGGAAGTTATATCATTTATAACGGATTTGTTTAGCTTAAGTCAGTTACATCTAAGCAACATCTTCGAGATTCTAGAAAATAAATATCCAGTTTATTAGCTTAGTATATCGAGGGTTCATATAACTAAATCATTATGAATTGGTATGAAAAGAACCTTAGGATTACTCCTAACTCAACCTTTTTTGTTACACTCTGCAGCAGCACGTTTTCTGCAGCCTCCTTTCCATTAAAAGTATTATAATGAATTTTTAAAAGGCGTGTTTTTAGCTAGATTTCAGTACATCAAATTATAAATTCAAACCTAGCTAGACAAGTTTACATGGTTTATATGAAAGGAAAGATAGGTTTCTAGTGGCAAAAGAAAATTTACGAGACTGCATTGTTCCAATTAAATCTGCTATACTTTTATGGAAATACATAGGTAATTAAAATAAAGCAAACAAACTGTATCATGTATTACCTTTATGTTATATGTACGCAATTTTCATTACATCCCGCATAAAGAAGATTATCTAAACTGTAGCTACATTGAGTGTAAATATGTTGGAGAGTCATCATTAGGATTTTTTGAAGCAGGAGACGTGAAAAATGAGCAGTGTCTTCTCTGGGACTCGAACTTGAAATTCTCGAATACATGCCGAGTGTTCTACCGTTACACCATAAAGGCATATAGAAATGAAGCAGAAAATATTTTATAATGTATAATTTTAGATTTCAGAATCTTCATCCTCTCTTAAAATATTAAAAAAGGGTCATTTAATTTTTTATTGTTGAAATGTATGAATGTTGAAATGTATTGTTGAAATGTCTGCTGTTTAAAATGAAATCTCTGTCTGTATTATATACATGTACGTATGTGTGTATGTCTGTGCGCGTATGTATATATATATAATTCGTAAGCAATAATTATAATTTTCATTTGCAATGGTCCCTGAACTTTCCATTTTAATTTAGATACTTCCTCTTTCAGTTCTAAAAATAGTAATTGTTTATAGCAAACTTTCTTAAACTTTTTATTTAAGCAACATTATTTTTAGTTCAAAGGGGCTTTGTCCTTGAAGGACTATTGTTTTCGTTTTGCGATTTTGCGTTGAATCACTATAAATGTCCGTTTCACTTTTCAAACTGATGCTACCAAATGTTAGAGTCCTGCATTATATTTGAAGAAAATTAAATAATGAAAAATATGTATAAAAGTATGTATATTTCTCGCATTGTGATAAAACAACAGTACCTAGAGCCATCGAATTTTGAATGACGTAATCCTCCTACGAATATGGGCATGTGGAAGACCAAATTTGAAATTTGGAATCTGTTTTATTATCGATTTCATATTTTGTAAAACTTTAACGAATTTTTGAGTAACAACCTCAAAGATTTAAAAGCGAGCAATGGCAACACTCTATGGGGGAAAAAGACCTTTTTATATCCAGCACGCGGAACTGTGTATCGGAAATTCTAAAGATATGCTCATTTTAAAATTATTTTGCGACATAGGAATATTATGAATTGAACTGAATTTTATGGTTTAAGTGAAAAGAACATGATATTTAATAAATAAAGGTAACACAAAACGGTAAAAAAAAGCCCGTTTGGATGTAATTTAAAATCTGAAACCTTTCAGATTGTTTTTTTACAACTGTCCTCTTATTATTATTATTTATTTAAGCAAAGGTTTTACGCATTTTTTAGTTGAAGGAAACTAATCTAACCTTATGAATTATCTCAAAATGCAATTAATTGTAAAACCGAGTATTATATTTCACTGCATATGAAAGTTCATTTCACTGAATATGAGTTTCTAATATATGACTTGAATTTAATTACATATGAAAGCTATACTTTACTGAATGTGAAAGTATATGAAAGTTCACAGTTCAATATATGTTATAATAGAAATATTTTCATCAATAAAAATTTGAAAGACTTTTCTGTGAACATTTACTTTATAAAAAAACGTTTGATTATTTATTTTGAAAGACTTTAGTGGACTTTCAACATTTACCTAGTGGGTTTATTTTAATCAACAGATATTACAAAAGTTTGACAATGTACATTTTTAAGACAATGCACATTTAAAAAGACAATGTACATTTTTTCAAAGGATTAAAGAACTTTTAAAATTATTTTGTCTTGATTTATTAGTTAGTTTAGAAATTATATTGTTTTTGCAGAAATTGTTAAGTATTATGTAATCTATATATGAGAAAGTTCGTGAATAATGACGGGGCATAGGCAAACCTAACTTGTCCTTGATGCTCCTTCATATCTTTCCTCATATACTAAACTTTATCTTGCTTCACTCATCCTTTTCTGCCACCCTGCTCTCCCGACCTTTCTTTTGAAGAGGGCAGTATGTAAGAAATAACAAAATACGATAGCTGTTTAAAAAAATAATTGGCGACTTCAGAATTGATATTCTAGATCTGGTGCTTTCCCCACTAAATTCCTCTGTTCTACCGGATTCGAGACCTTTCTATGTTACGACACGTTTTAATGCAGATACCTCTTGTCGAATCAAATTAATTCTAAACCAAAACTTTCTCTAAGTCGAACTGAAACTATTGACTCACTCCCTTCTTCCTCTGAGTTGCAATGTTCTAAATGTAAAATATTTATGCTTCCCTGACGGCAAGACGCTGCTTTTCCACGCTGCTTCTTATTTGCCTAAGATAACGTCGTACTTTAAACTGGAACTTATTGTATTGAACTATAATTAAGAAAT